AGATTTAAAATCGAAATTATCGCTAAATAAAATTCGTCGCGAACTTAGCGACGAATTTTGTCACGAATAGCTTTCGTTGCAAATTACCAACGAAAATTGAATTTTTTTGATGGAAAAAAATCGAATTTCCAACGATTTTTGCATCGAATAATTAGCGTCAAAATTTGCAACGTATTTTCCCACAAATGTTGTTTTCGTTGGAAATTACCAACGAAAATTTTAACTTTTTGGATGAAAATTTCGCGGATTTTCCACGATTTTTTTGCAACGAATAAGGATGAATTTATATATTATTTTTCGTTGGAAAAAAAAACAATTTATATATTATTTTTCCAACGAATTAAATTTTCGTCGGAAATTACCAACGAAACTTGCAATTTTTTGTCGGAAAAAATTGCGATTTCCAACGAATTTTTTTTTCGTTGGAAATTAACAAGGAAAAATTTTTGTCGGAAAAATCCCACATTTCCAACGAATTTTTTTTTTCGTCGGAAATTAACAACGAAAATTGTAATTTATTGTGGGAAATATTCGGGATTTCCAACGAATTTTATTTTTGTCGGAAATTACCAACGAAAATTCGTTTGTCGGAAAAATTCGAGATTTCCAACGAATTTTTTTTTCGTTGGAAATTAACACGAAAATTGTTTGTGAGAAAAATTCCCGATTTCCAACGAATTTTTTTTTCGTCGGAAATTACCAACGAAAATTATTTGTCGGAAAAGTTCGCAATTTCCAACGAATTTTTTTTTCGTTGGAAATTAAAAACGAAAATTGTAATTTCGTGTGGGAAATATTCGAAATTTCCAACGAATTTTTTTTTCGTTGGAAATTAACAACGAAAAATTTTTGTCGGAAAAATCCCACATTTCCAACGAATTTTTTTTTCGTCGGAAATTAACAACGAAAATTGTAATTTATTGTGGGAAATATTCGGGATTTCCAACGAATTTTATTTTTGTCGGAAATTACCAACGAAAATTCGTTTGTCGGAAAAATTCGAGATTTCCAACGAATTTTTTTTTCGTTGGAAATTAACACGAAAATTGTTTGTGAGAAAAATTCCCGATTTCCAACGAATTTTTTTTTCGTCGGAAATTACCAACGAAAATTATTTGTCGGAAAAGTTCGCAATTTCCAATGAATTTTTTTTTCGTTGGAAATTAAAAACGAAAATTGTAATTTCGTGTGGGAAATATTCGAAATTTCCAACGAATTTTTTTTTCGTTGGAAATTAACAACGAAAAATTTTTGTCGGAAAAATCCCACATTTCCAACGAATTTTTTTTTCGTCGGAAATTAACAACGAAAATTGTAATTTATTGTGGGAAATATTCGGGATTTCCAACGAATTTTATTTTTGTCGGAAATTACCAACGAAAATTCGTTTGTCGGAAAAATTCGAGATTTCCAACGAATTTTTTTTTCGTTGGAAATTAACACGAAAATTGTTTGTGAGAAAAATTCCCGATTTCCAACGAATTTTTTTTTCGTCGGAAATTACCAACGAAAATTGTTTGTCGGAAAAGTTCGCAATTTCCAACGAATTTTTTTTTCGTTGGAAATTCAAAACGAAAATTGTAATTTCGTGTGGGAAATATTAGCGATTTCCAACGAATTTTATTTTTGTCGGAAATTACCAACGAAAATTCGTTTGTCGGAAAAATTCGAGATTTCCAACGAATTTTTTTTTCGTTGGAAATTAACACGAAAATTGTTTTTGAGAAAAATTCCCGATTTCCAACGAATTTTTTTTTCGTCGGAAATTACCAACGAAAATTGTTTGTCGGAAAAGTTCGCAATTTCCAACGAATTTGTTTTTCGTTGGAAATTCAAAACGAAAATTGTAATTTTGTGTGGGAAATATTCGAAATTTCCAACGAATTTTTTTTTCGTTGGAAATTAACAACGAAAAATTTTTGTCGGAAAAATCCCACATTTCCAACGAATTTTTTTTTCGTCGGAAATTAACAACGAAAATTGTAATTTATTGTGGGAAATATTCGGGATTTCCAACGAATTTTATTTTTGTCGGAAATTACCAACGAAAATTCGTTTGTCGGAAAAATTGGAGATTTCCAACGATTTTTTTTTTCGTCGGAAATTACCAACGAAAATTTTTTTTGTCGGAAAAATTCGGGTTTTCCAACGAAGTTTTTTTTTCGTTGGAAATTAAAAACGAAAATTGTAATTTCTTGGCCGAAATATGAGGGATTTCGAACGAATTTTTTTTCGTCGGAAATTACCAACGAAATTTTTTTGTCGGAAAAATGCGGGATTTCCAACGAATTTTTTTTTTCGTTGGAAATTATCACCGAAAATTACTTTTCGCAAAAATTCGCGATTTCCAACGAATCTTTTTTTCGTTGGAAAGTAAAAAAAAAAAATTGTTTTCCGAAAAATTCGGGATTTCCAACGAAGTTGTTTTTCGTCGGAAATTACCAACGAGAATTGTATTTTTTTGTCGGAAAATTTAGCGGATTTCCGACGATTTTTGCAACGAATATTTTGCAACGAATTTTTCCAACGATATTTAGCGACGAAATTTGCCACGAATTAATTTTCGTCGGAAATTACCAACGAAAATTGAAATTTTTTTTCGTCACTATTTTCGTTGGAAATTACCAACGAATTTTCCAACGAATTTTCCAACGAATTTTTCCCACGAATATTTCCAACGAATTTTTCCAACGAAAGAATTTCGTTGGAAATTACCAACGAAAATTTAAATTTTTTGTCGGAAAATTTTGCGACGACTAATTACCAACGAATTTTTTTTCGTCGCAAAATTCGTTGGAAATTCGTTTTCCAACGAATTTTGACGAATTTTTCGTTGGAAATTTCGTTGGAAAACTCTTGTTTTTTTGTAGTGGATTCAACTTACACATGTTCCTATTAATTGTACAATGGATTTGAAAGATGTTCTTCCTTCGCTCTTGCATCTTTGGGGCAACTATGGTGCCTAAAGCCTTCCAGATGACCAGCAACTCATCTTCATCAGCTTGTCCCGCGATCTCATCTTGCTCCTCAGCTCCAAACTCAACTTGGTCTGCTCCTTACTTAGCCTCTTGAAATTCCAAATCAATTTACTCAATTTCTTGTGAGTCATAACCCTTCGATTAGGACAATCAACTTGCAAATGCCTATACCTAAAGCACTTTTTACCTCCAACATTTGATTTTTTTTTTTTTGAGCTCTTTAACGAACTTAGTCGACGTCTCTTCTGTTGAAATAATCTCAGCCTTGCTAGAAGAAGCACCCATTAATAAGGATGTTCTTATGATTGAAGGCCTAGCTGAAACCTCTCGCCACCCTACTATCATTGCCCCACTTTCATAGCTTCCTAGCTAACGTCTTCAAAAGACCAATATGATTGAAGCTATCGGTGATATACTTGTTCAATCCTCAGAGGAGGCAATTAATGGTATTCTCTTGCATTTCTAGTACATCACACCTCATAAGGGGTTGTTTGAGCTCCCTAATATTCTCCTCGATGCCCATGCCATGTAAATTGAGAGAGTTCGGCTTTAGAAACAAGTCAAGCTCATAGTTGTCAGGCAAATACCTCTTCTTCATAAGCTTCCTTAATTTTTTTCCAAGACTTGACCCTGCCTTTTTTTTTTTATTGACTCTATAGTTTGTTAGGATTTCCCATCAAAGTGAAGCATACTTCTTAAATTTAAGAAACACAACCTTGCTTTTATTTTCATTCGAGTATGACTTTAAGTCAAATACTTGTTTAATAGCATACAACAAATCAACAAAGTCATCTGGATTGAGGCTACCCTTAAATTCATGTGCTTCCATTCTAATTTCACGGTCATTCTCCTGGTGCTTCCCTTTTCTTCTTTTAATTGGATAATTCGAATCGCTTGAGTCACTCCCAATATCATTGGATTCATCACTAGAGCTTGGAAGGCAGTAAATCAATATGCGGTGGACAATACACCGAAGGTATCCGCGGCTATCCATGTCTCGCTTGATTCTCTAGGAGGTCGAGGACTTGCTCCACTTCATACTTATACTTTTTTCTAGAATGGAAGTATGCGACAGAGAATGGAAGCATTCACTCAAAAATTGTTCAATCTAGAAACTTTGATACCAACTTGATACGTGGTGAGTTTATACGAAGTTGCTGAACGTGTTTGATGGGATAAATGAAAGTGTTTTGTGTGTTTGAGGGAACAAATGGGATATAAGAGTTCACCACCAAGACATAAAAAAATGTTCCACGGCCAAGGATAAATATTATTAAGTTCACCGCCAAAGGATTGAGACTTTCTAACATAGATATAGAACTGAAGGAATCATTCACTTGAGAAGAATTCTCATATATCATCAAATTCAATTGTGAATTCTTACAATTGAGGATGCACCCTCTACTTATAGACGGACTAAGCCATATGAACTAGGAAATATCAAATTAAGGAACCTTCCCAAATCAGGAAACCTGTTTAAACTGGGAAATCGACTAAATTAAGAAACAACCCTCCGTCTTGACCCTATCGAATTAGGCTTTATTCTTCCACTTTTAGAAACTCCATCTCGAACGTCTTTTCCTCATTGGATACGCTGGATCATGTCATGGCGAAACATCTCCCTTCACTCCAGTAGATTGACGAGATCGGAATTATCTTCAGTAGAATTCGATACTCCGCATCATAATTGGAGGGAGGACCTACACAGTCAACTTTTTTTTATTGATTTGAGCTACATAATTAAAATAAAGGCACATGATAATTTGCCGCAACTCGACCCGGTTCATTCTCGACAAACCAACCCACGAATGTACGTGGACGCGAACATGAGTAGATACATCCGAATCTCACCACAATCACGACTACATACATCTCTTCCATTCCTCATGCATAGAACTCTATTTACTTTGTCTTTTCTTCTCCATCCCAAAAAAAAAAAGAAAAAAGAAATCACGACCTTCCAAATCTACCAAAAGCCGCCTCACACTCTAATCTCTATATAACACCTGCGATTATGAATCTCACTCCATCCTTTTCACTCTTAATAACTCTCTCTCGAAAAGAGCAAAAGAAAAAGTTAGGCGATATCGAAAACAAAGCCAATCTCATTTTCAGTCGAAAAGTATGGCCAAGGTATTGCCCATCAAGTTCAAGAGGGTAGCCGCGGCCTTTGACGAAGCGGCTCGGCTCTGCGAGAGCAGCGGAAGCGAGCATTCGCCGTCGTCGGAGAGCTTTGCCGAGCTCTCTGATCTGGTGACGTCGTTCATGGAGAGAGAAGGAAGGGTCAAAGCCGAAGAGGATAATGATGATGAGAAGTTGAGCAAGGAAGAGTACGAGGGCAATAATTTCGATGATTGTTTGTCCGATTCCGATGATTCATCGACGAGGGAGACGTTGGAGGAGATTTTTGCGAGGGATTACAATGGCGACGAAGTGAAGGCGAAGATTGGAGCTGAAGTTGAGCTCGCTTGCGAGTTCATCGGGAGGGATCGTGTGAATATGTCGTCGCATGATTTTAAGCGACGGTTAATGGCTCGTCTTCGCGAGAGGGGCTTCGACGCCGGTTAGTATATTTCATCAACTAACTGATTTTGATTTCATGTATTTTGATTTGATCAACTCCATTGTTTGAATAATTTTGCTTGGGAGATTTGTGAGAAATTAAAACAAATTAATCTTGCCAAGGGACATGATCTTGAGAGAAATTATAGGATGTGTTATGAACGATTGCATTGATCAATAGAAAGCTAGAACTGTGAAGTTCGATTTGTGCCTAAGTCCTACTTCTATATACACCAGGTCTCTGCAAATCTAGATGGGAGAAGACTGGGCGATTACCTGCCGGAGATTACCAGTACATAGACGTCAATGTAAACGATACCCGCTACATCATCGAGGTCTCCCTAGCAGGAGAATTTGAAATTGCTCGCCCGACCGATCGCATCACTTCATTGCTCAAATTATTTCCTCCGATATTCATAGGCCGGCTCGAGGACTTGAAGCAAGTGGTGAGGATAATGAGCACGGCAATAAGGCAGTCCCTGAAGAAGAGGGACTTGCTAGTGCCTCCTTGGAGGAAAAATAGCTACTTGCAGAACAAGTGGTTCAGCTCCTACAAGCGAACTACTAAAGGGGTTTCGGAAGCTTTTGGCACGACCAAATCTCAGGATAGTCAGATTACGAAACATCTCATCGGATTCGAGGCCTCTAGAGTAAAGGATTGTTTTTGTCGCGAGGATTTCGTGAGGAAGACTAGGTCGAGAATGACTGGGAATTTAACCGCTGTTTTCGATGGCCACGACACCAGCTTGCATCTCTAGTTTGAGTCGCAGCATCAGTTAAGGCTTGCTTCTCTAGATGATTGAAGTTTCTCTCCATTTATATGATTGTTTATAGGGAGATTTTTGTGGACAATCTCTTTACGTAGCGAGATTAGTCTTCTACTCCTTACTTTTCAAGATCTCCTCCGAACTCTCGATCAGAAGTGGAGCTCGATCGTGTTGCAGGAGGGTGGACCTTTGTTGTTTCAAGAACTTCAACTGGAATCCTAAGCAAAAGGAGTCGACGCCCTTTGTCTATAATTCGAACCTTTGTGCCGGCGGGTCGACCCGCTCCATTTCAAGAAGCCAATCTCGGACCCTTGAAACATAGAGGGCCGACCTCTACGCCGACGGGATCGACTTCTTTTGCTAAGGGCTCCATTTGGAGTTCTTGACACGAGAACGGAGTCGATCTTCTCAGCAACGACATCAGTCCCCACCTCGAATAAGGGAGAGAGGAAGGAGATAAAGTTAGGAAGAGTGAGTCATGTTATTGTACATATATATCCATCAGATCATGTGTTGCTATGCATAATGTAATATATTGCCACAATAAGAGGATAGAAATTGTAAATTTGATCAAGTGGCAGGATCTGATTGGAAATTTTAATCAGATTATTTTCCTTTTCCCAGTCATAATCTTAAACTGTGTTTGTTTCACATAAAACATTTTTTGGACAAACATTTTCATCATATTGCAATGTTTGGATCGCAACGAAAAATATTTTTCTAATCAACAAAATAGGTTATCCTACCAAAGCTTGAAATCATTTTTAAAAATATGATTACGCTTAGACAAGAAATTATGCGCTTGGGCACAGGAACCCAATGCTCGTTTCGTGGCCTTTGGCAGTGGAGCTGGGTCCCCAGAGCTTGAGCCCGAGTCCATTGAGGCCGCGCCCGAGACCCAACCGCCATGCCCGAGACACCAGCCACTAGAGGTGAGCATGGTTCCAGGTTCTATCCTGGAACATAAGAACCTAACCAATGGGAACCTGTAGGTTCCAGGTTTCAAGGTATGCAGGGTAAGTTCTAGGTTCCAAAAATTGAGAAACCTGTTTCGACGAGTAGGTTCTCGGTTCTAGGTAAGTGAAACATGGAATATGAACCTGTCTTCTCGTGATCCTATGGTGGTTCATGGCATTAGATGATGAGTGTATGATCTTGAACCACTAGTATGAGCTTTCGTTTTATGACTTATTAATGTTTCATATTTTTCGTGTGTCTAAATATAAGTTGTGGTTAGTGAATCATAGCAGTAAGTGGTGGTTATTAAAAGTGATGGTTCACTGCAATTGTTCAATTAATAATATAGGTGGAACCTAAGTGGACTCTGGAACCAACCCTCGAACCTGTGATATTGTAGGTTTCAAGTTCTAAAAAATGAGGAACCTATTATCATGGGTAGAATCTACACGGAACATGGAACTACTCACTCTTAGTATCAATTCACGCAACGACTATTCATTTTAGTTATATTTATTTGAACTATAATGCCAGAAAAAATAGTCGTTTGTATTCTCTTTGATGAATGACAAGCTTGTTCAATATTGTTACTTTCATTTGTGTTTTGTTTAACTAAAAATGCAATTAAAAAAAAAGAACCTGTTAGACCCTGGAACCTGGTTCCAAGTTCCAAGTTCCGATAGATAGGTTCTAGATTCCAAGAAATTGGAAACCTGTACCCGAGGGTAGGTTTCAGTCTCCATGTGGAACTTGTAAGGAACTTGGAACCACTCACCCCTACCAACCATTGCGCTCGGGTCTATTAAGACCTGGCCTAAAACACCAGTACCTATGTTTGGGACGCCAAACCCTGTAATATCGAGGTCGAGCCCCAGTCCTCAATGCATGTGCCCAAGTTCATCGAGGCTAGGCCCCTAACCTAGCGCCCATGCCCAAGTCCCTAACTTCTGAGCCTAAGTCCATTAAGGCAGGGCCCACGTCGATCCATCAATGCCAAGCCCGAGCCCAAGCGCCAGGGACTGGGGCTTGGCCTCGATGGACTCAAGCATGGGTGCCAAGGTCCCGGGCCCGACCTTAATGGACCTAAGTCCGGGCGCAGGGGACCAAATCCAAGGGACCAAATCATGGGCGTTGGTTCGAGGCCTAGCCTCTATGGACCCAGACATGAGCACTAGTACCAAAGTTACAATCTCAGCATCGATCGACCTAGACCCGAGAGCTGAGGTCTCGATCCCAAGCGCTGGGATCCCGAGCCTAGGTCCTACCAAGGCCCAGTCGCCTGAGATCGAGGCCCAGCCTTCATAGATTGGAGCCAGGGCACTTAGGAGCCAGGCACAGGCACTACCGAGTTCTCAAGCTCAGTTTTAGTGGGTCCAAGACTAGTGCTCGTGCTCGTGCCCGAGAGTCAGGGATTCAAGCTTGAGACCTTGTTGTTCGTGCCGAGTTTGTTGGCTATCCATGTGTAAGCCACTAGCACTTGAATAATATATGTCTTTTTACAGAAATCAAATTAGATTTTCCATACCGAATAACAAAAATATTTTGCAATTTATTTTTATGCCTTAGCCAAACACCAAATATTGTCATTTTCTAGGAAAATGACTTCATAGAAAACGTTTTTCAGGAATATCACATTTTTCGCGAAATAAACAAAGCCTTAATCTAATGACCAGTCTAGTATGACTACTAGGTAGGGGTGAGCAAGACAGATTGACCGAATCGAACCGAACCACTCGAATTGGACCAAACCACCCGGTTGGGTCCAGTTCCCAAGAGTATTTGTCCGATTCCCAGTTCCTAAAAGTGGAACAGAAGTTCGGGCAATCCAGTTCTTGGTTTCAAGAGGGAACTCGATTGATTGTTTTTTTAAAATAAAAATGAAAAACAAAAACCTCTTCTTTAATTCCCCTACCTCTTCTTCCATCGTTTCCTCCCTCTCCCTCTCTCTCTCCCTAGACTTCATAGCGACCAACCATCACCAACCGAAGCAAGTAAATGATGGAATATTCATTAGCGATGAAATCGTTTGTTTGCTAACGCAGACACTGCGTTTGTTCGTATGTTTTCGGGAAAATTCCAATTAAGGACCCAAGTGGGGTCCTTTTCTCAAAAGAGGACCCAAAGTGAACATGGTGTCAAATAAGGACCTAAAGTGCCCAATCAGTCTCAAATAGGGGCCTGAAGTACTCAATTTGTCTCAGGTAAGGGTATGGATTCGTCGGCCGGTCAAATCTCGCCGACCGGCGAGCACAATTACTGTTCCGGCAACCGGAACAGTACATTTCACCTCTGTTTTTTTTTCTTTTTCTTTTTTTTTCTCTTCCCTCCACCGACCATAGCCGGGGCCGGTGGAGGTCGCCGGCCTCAGACGGAGGCTGCCCTCGCCCGACGCCGGCGAGGGTCGCCCTCGACTGGGCTGGGCGGGCGAGGGCGACCCTCGCCTGCGGAGGGCGAGGGCTCGAGCTCGCCGGCCATCTAGGCAAACTCAGCCGGCGAGCTCTGCCCAGATCTGGGCGAGCTCAAGCTCATGCCGGCCCTCGCCATGGCTGTGCAGGCCGGCGAGGGCGGAGCTCGCCCAGATCTGGGCAGAGCTCACCGGCCGAGCTCACCCAGATGGCCGGCGAGCTCGAGCTCCCGCCGGTCTCAGCGAGCTCGAGCTCGCCGGCCATGGCACCCTCCCCCTCCCCTTCCCGCTCCAAGTTCTCCCCATGGAAGCCCCTCGGGAGTCCCCGAGCTCACGCCGACCGCCACGCCGTCCGGGCCCCTCGACAACCGGATCTCAGGGCCCTTCCTCCTCAAGCTCGCACGCAACACCATCGCCTCCGGCGACGGCCCCACCAAGGCCCTCGACTACGCGATCCGGGCGAGGCCGGCCTCCTTGAGCTCGCCCAAATCTGGGCGGAGCTCGCCATGGCCGGCGAGCTCGAGCTCGCCCAGATCTGGGCGAAGCTCGCCGGCAGCTCGCCATGGCCGGCGAGCTCGAGCTCGCCCAGATGGCCGGCGAGCTCGAGCTCTCGCCGGCCTCGGCTACGCCGTCGCCGCTTCGCGGACGCGGACCGGGAAAGAAGAAAAGAAAAGAAAAAAAATTGGACAAAATTGCCCCTATTCCGATGCGAAAATGTCGTAGGTCGCCGGCCGGAGAACATTTGGCCAGCCGGCGAGCTCAGGTCCTTATTTGATACTAGTTTGGCACTTTGGATCCTTAATTGATACCTTGTCCACTTGAGGTCCTCTTTTGAAAAAAGACACCCACTTTGGGTCCTTATTTGATAATTTCCCTATGTTTTCCACTTCATTCCGAATGAAAGTGGGCCGGAGTGAACCCCGAGGTTGACCTTTGTCTTTTGTTGGTTCCAATGTTTCTCGTGAGTTTTATATCATTTGTATGTTATCTTGGCCTTATTTATCATTCGAGGCATTCTCTCCTTTAAACTCGACCGATTTCAAACTGCCCAATTTCATTGAACCGCCCAGAAATCATAGAAGCATTCTCTCCTTTAAACTCGACCGATTTCAAACCGCCCGATTTCATTGAACCGCCCAGAAATCGTAGGGCCGGGAACCGATCACAATTGCTAGTAAGTACTTCTTTTACACCCCGAATTTCATTTTCTCTTTTACGGCTTTATGAGCTTCCGAAATTCCTAATCTTGGCAATTTCCAATAACCCAGCATTGAAAAACTCTTGGGACTTGTTCTTTAACCTTTCATATGATTTCAGTAATTTAGTTCCCAAAATAGCGGAAACTTGTCGAGTAAATTAAACTATTCCTCGCATGAATTTCACTGATATAGATAGTTGAGATTCTTGTTTTTGTCCATCACTTTAGAAAAAAGAGTTCCATTCATAATTGCAACCGCTAAAAAGTTAGTGCGTTTCAAGGGAATCGGGTCAGCCTCGGCAAAATCGAAAAGAATGTAAAAAAGAAGAAGAAGAAGATGGATTTCGAAATAATATAGCCACCGATAGACACGAAACTGCTGGGAAATTTGAAGCAGCTTTGCTTGGAAGGTGACCCGAGCAAGAATGCAACTTCGATGTAAGAGAAGGGCCTCTAAAAAGGGCTAAATCCTATGCCCTTTTCCTCTTCTCTCCCTTCTCTGATCACACAAACAAAAAAAAAGGGCTTCTTTAACAGAAAAAGATTGAACATTGACGTTGAAACATCAGGAAGTTGAAAGGAATGTGAGAAGTTCGGTAAGCAGAATTGTCGACGGAGGATTAACGACAAACGGCCAGTAAACTTCTCTGAGGCGTTTGGATCTGGCTACAGCCGCTTTGGCAGATTCAAGATGGAGGGCACTGGTGCGAATCCCTCATCTCGGTACAATGTAGCCCTCACGGATCTCAGATGGGTCAGAGCAAAGCAATCGGTGTGTTTGAAAAGAAGCCAAAAAAACCTGAGAAAGATGGGCAAAATGACAGAACAGAGAAAGAGAGAGAGGGAGGAACGAGAAGAAGAAGATATGGACATTCATAAACCCTAGCAAGCAATGGCTTTTATGGCCGAGAAGAAGAGATCGTAGCCGTTCATCTCATGCCGTTCCTGATAGACAATCCTTGGCCTGGGCCTTGCATATGGTCTTGAACTCTCAAATGTTGGGTGATCAGTTACCGGACTGGGCCGATTCAACTGTAGAACCGGAAACTGGCCGGTCCGATTCCCAGGTTCTTGGAATCGGGGATCAGAACCGATCCCGATTCAATCTAGGGTTTTGGCAATTTTATTTTCTTCACTCTTTAAACAAAAAAAAAGCATATCGGTCTAGTTGATCCAAGTAGGTTAGGTTCCGCACCTAGAGCCGAAAACCGAACTGATTACTCCTAATGCCAAAAATTTAGAACAAGGAACCGTTAAGAACCGGCTGGTCCAGTTCCCATGCACACCCCTATTCAAATCTCTAAACACGTGTTTTGATTCATTATAGTTAGAGGAATGACAAATCTCTAATTAGTTTTTTAGCATCTATTTGAATTGACTTCACAAAAACAGGGCTTTTGTTTAGCCAAACATAATAATGCCATGAAACCAAGAAGAAGATTCACACAAAGACTGAGATGACCTTTCGAAAGATCGAATATGAACTATGCAGAAGCAAGTCTGAGCTGTGTCATGCATCAACAAAGGCTCTCGACTCTCGACATGTAAACTCCGCGGTAAATTCAAGGTAAATTTATTACAAGTGTACCAGTTTATGGTTTTTGGTGGTCAAAAAATTCGTTTGGAGTAAATTTGTCATATGTGTACTTGTTTGGATTTTTTGTGGTCAAAATAATAATTCGAGGTAAATTTATTAGAGATATACTAATTTGTGATTTTTCGTGGTATTAACTCTAGTTAATATCAGTTTTTCCTTTCTCAATGGCAGGCAAGGACAATGGAACTGAAATTGAAACTTTAAACCAACTATGCCAACTCAAAATAACGGCCCAAAAACGACACTCATGAGTATAAAATTAACTTGTCGGAGAGCTAGAACACACACCAAATCAGCAATTGTGATGTTAAATAAGGCGTTGGCTCTTTGCATTATTTCTGTAGTGATATATGCTCATTCTCGACGAACGATGTGGTCATCGACGCAAGGATCATCACCTGCCGTGGATTAGGAAAGGGGGCAGGGCATATTGCAAGGGCGCACAACATTTGCCTCTACCGTCCAACCATTACGGACACTGTTGCGAGAAGTGGGACGGGAAAATAACCAAAAATAATCTCAAACTTATTGCATTTGTGCCAAAGTTCGGAATCTTATTCAACATGGACCGGGACAATAAATTCGCTCTCAAACGTAGTTACAACGCCGACTCTGAACAGGATAAGAAGGGATCCAAGTCAAACTCTTCGAAGAAAAAAAGAAATCAAAACTTGAGGAAATACGAGAATCCAAACGCAAATCCAACGAGAACCCAAAAACGAACAACCTATGAATCGGACCAAAAAACCTTGGTGGGTCATGTACGTGGGAACGCATTCAACTTCGCCACCTTTGGCCTCTTCTGCCCTGTCCTACTTTCGCTTGCGTTTCTTGCTTTTTGAGATCGATCGATCGAGAGAGGAGGAGGGGGGGAGGCGATTAACGGAGCTTCAATAGCATTTTCCTTTTCAGCTGTCGAGAGAGAGAGAGAGAGAGAGAGAGAGAGAGAGAGAGAGGGAGGGTGGCCCATCTTAATAGAAAATTATAAAGGAGAATACGATTTCACCGGGGTTTTCCCTTAAAATAGAAAACTATTGCTATTAATCGTATCCAATCCGTCTGGTTCTTTTTATTTTAGGGTTAATATCACGAAAAATCCTAAACTGATACATCTGTGATAAATTTATCCCAATTAAATTTTTGACCACCAAAAATCCCAAACTAGTACATATGTGACAAATTTACCATAAACTAATTTTTTTGACCACCAAAAACTCCAAACTGGTACACTTGTGACATATTTATCCTCCATTAAATTGAATTAATACCACGAAAATCACAAACTGGTATATTTGTAAAATTCTAAATCGGTATACCCATCAACAGTTACATGTCATCAAACTCAGAAATTTGACTGTTAAATTTAACGGCAACTAACGAAGGGTAAAATTGTCATAGATGTACCAGTTTTGGGTTTTTTGTGATCAAAAAATTAATTTAAAATAAATTTATCACAGATATATTAGTTTGGATTTTTTCGTGATATTAAACATTTATTTTATTACGGACATTCGAGGTTTGCCACCCCAAACCCAGCCGTGATTTTTACATTTGGACTTCACGCGCGCGAGCGTGACGCGTCAATGGCTCAAGAGGTTGGTTAGTCTCTCCTATTTTGGGTTTATGTAATTTCAATTATTTTCTCACTATAAGTACCATCAACGCACGTTTCCAAAATCCGACCATTGCAAAACAAAAAGCTCGTTGATATTTTTTTTTTTTGGTAACCGAAGATCCGCCACCATTCCCCGGGGACGAGCCCGCACGGGTAATCAGGGCGCCTATACCTCGGGGGAGACTAGCTTAACAACCCACCGCCAGGGCCCCCACTTAAATTACGGAACCGAGCGGGGATTCGAACCCAGAATCTCTGAGGAGGGAAGGAAAGCGCCCACTAACTCGGCCATGCGCATGCGGGTAAAGCTCGTTGATATTTCGTTTGTGCTGTTTCCACTTTGATTTCTTTCGGTGTTGTTGTTACTTAGTCAGAGATAGTAGAGATTCTTAAGATTTTTTATAGAATATGATCCATTGTTAAAGCCAATTACGATATTACTATTGATTATCTATATATATATATATATATATCTCAAGATTGCACGTATTTCTCCCTTAATTGTGCATATCTTGATTGATATATATTACCTTATATAGTTGTTTTGTAAAGCCTATAAATAGGCAGATGTACTTTTCATTGTGACACATAAAATATATATGACTTTTCCTTTTTCTCTCTTTCGCATTTTAAGATATTTAACTTGGTATCAGAGCCTTCGTTCCTGTGAAAACCTAAGTGCATCACCCAGTGCACACTCGACAGTGTTCACTTGTGCCCACAAGTCTCATATGAGGAAACATTTAATCGAGTCATTTTCATAATAGTCGTGTTTCGACGCTAATCACTTTGGCCGCATCAAGGTGGCTTTCTTTTTTATGCTAGTCGCACAGCCCAATAACTATTTTCCAAGCCAGCCATACAGACCGCTTGATGTTACAATGACAGCCGTACATGCCTCGTCACTTAGTTACTATTTCGCAAGCCCGCCGCATCAGCCGCTTGTTGTTCCCCTCAAATTTTCAACTTTTCGCGCATCGTTTCGAGAAGCCAACACGGCCACTAGACTCGTTACCCTCAGACAAGCCAGATCTGGCCCCTTGATGTTACGATGCTAGCCGTACAGACTGCGTGGCTCAGTTACTATTTCGCAAGCCCACCGCATAGGCCGCTTGTTGTTCCCCTCCGATTTTCAACTTTTCACGCGTCATTTCGAAAAGTCGACACCACCACTAAACTAGCTATCCTTAGATGAGCCAGATCTGGAAGACCCCATCTAATACTGGTGCCACGCGGCATCACTGGAGAAACAAGTGCCGCGGACATTGATTCAAACTTCAGTTGACTTATATGAAGTCACCTTGAGTTTGAGTGGAGAAGTTAGAGATATTAGAGATTCTTAATATTAGAGATCTTATCCTATGCTAGAGACAATTATGATATTTCTTTTTTTGGTGTAAAATGTAAGTATTATAAAGTAAATTGAGAACATTCATTGCATAGTTATCTCTTGACTGTACATGCCTTGATTAATATATGTAACCATATACATTTATCTCGTAAAGCCTATAAATAGGCAGGTATAATCTTCATCTTGACACATCGAAATATATGACTTTCCCATTTTCTCTCTTTCGCATTTTAACATAATTTAACTTTACTAGTTCCAGAGGAATGTCGATTAAGGCTTTGGTGGCTCTTTGGATCGTCGGCCTGTTGGTGTGCTCGTTCGCGACAAACAATGCGGTCGTCGACGCAGGGATGATCGGATACGGCGGCATGAGAAAAGGGGGCAGGGCGTATTGCAAGGGCGAGCACTGTTTGCCTCTTCCGTCCAATCCTTACGACCGCGGTTGCGAGAAGGTCGATGAGTGCCGTGGAGGGATACCAAAGCCGGCTGAGAGAAAAAGAGAAAAATAAAAAAAATAAATAAAAGAAAAAGTTCATCACTACTATTCGTAATGTAATCTGTCGCTACAAATAAAGGTATGAATTGTTAGATCAAGTGCAGGGTCCGGTTGGAAATTTTAATCAGATTCTTTTCCATTTCCTTGGTCATAATCTTCGTCCATCGACAAGTCGAGCATGGCTTCTTGTATTTCTTCCATACCCTGAATTTCTTTCTCTCTTTTCGCCTTCGATTTACTAAATAATGAATGAGTATTGAAAGGAATGTGAGAAGTTCGGTAAGAGTTTCAATTTTATGGAACCGGGAACTATCCAAAACCAGCCGGTCCGAGCACTATGGGTGAGCGGTTCCAAGTTCCTTATAGATTCCATGTGGAATCTACCTTCGGATACAGATTCCTCATTTTTTGGAACCTGAAACGCACTTGTCGAAACCCGAAACCTCCAAGGTAGGTTCTAGGGTCTAACATGTTATTTTTTTTATTTCTTTTGGAATAAGTGCATTCGATGTCCTAAAACTTATCGCGAAAGTGCAATTGAGTCCTAAAACATTCATAATGTGCAATTAAGTCCTAAAACTTGTTAGGAAAATATAATTGAGTCCTAAAACTTTCAAAAAGTGCAAACAAGTCCTAAAACTTGTCACGAAAGTGCAAACAAGCCCTAAAACTTATCAAATTGGTTCAATCAAGTCCTTCTATTGATTGCACTTTTTGAAAGTTTTAGAACTTGATTGCACATTTGTGATAAGTTTTAGGACTTGATTGCACCTTTGTGATAAGTTTTAGGACTTGATTGCACTTTTTTAAAGTTTTAGGACTTAATTGCACTTTCGTGACAAGTTTTAGGACTTGATCGCATTTTTTGAAAGTTTTAGGACTCAATTGCACTTTCCTGACAAGTTTTAGGATTTCTAGTGCACTTATCCCATTTCTTTTTTAGCTAAACAAAACGAAAATGAACACAACAATACTGAACAAGCTTGTCATTCATCATGGTTCCAGATTATACACTCATCATCTAATGCTATAAAATACCGCAGGATCATGCGAAGACATAGATCACGAAAAAACATAAAAAAATTTGTTTAGATTTTAGGTTCCAGGTTCCAACTACCTAGAACCTGAAACATACCTGTCAAAACAGGTTCCCCAATTTTTGGAACATGAAACCTACATTGCATACCTTGGAACCTAGAACAAGTTCCCATTGGTCAGGTTATCAGGTTCCAGGTTCTACCTTGTGAACCTGAAACCATGCTCATCCCTACCGTTGAAACCGACCCTCGAACCTGTGATAGGGTAGGTTGTAAGTTCCAAAAACTAAGGAACCTATTAATTGAACAATTGCAGTGAATCATGACATTTAATGACCACCACTTACTGCTATGATCCACTAAACACAACTTATATTGAGACACGCGAAGAATATGAAACATTAACAAGTCATAAAATGAAAGCTCAGACTAGTGGTTCCAGATTATACATTCATCATCTAACGCTACGAAACACCGCGGGATCATGCGAAGACATAGATCAAGAAAAACACAAAAAATTTGTTTAGGTTATAAGTTATAGGTTATAACTATTTAGAACCTAGAACCTATCCATCAAAACAGGTTCTCTAATTTTTGAAACTTGGAACCTACCTTGCATACCTTGGAACTTAGAATGGGTTTCCATTGGTCAGGTTATCAGGTTCTAGGTTCTACCTTGTGAACTTGGAACCATGCTCACCCCTACCGAACAATTCCCGGTTCGGTCGGTCCGTGTTGCTCACCCCTAAATTCCACCCTAGAACCGCATTGCCGAATTGAACCGGTCCAATTTAGGTTTTTAACAATTTCCTTTTTAAAAGAAATGGAAAAAAATTAAATAAACAAAAATCTGACCAGTCGGTCCAAGTAGTTTGATTCTGCACATGGAACTGAAAACCGGATCCACTAGTCTCAATTCCAAAATAGCTCAGAACTGGCCGGTCCGATTTCCGTGCACACCCCTATTCAAATCTCTAACCGCGTGTTTTGAGTGATTATGATTAGAGGAATGACAAATCTCTAATTAGTTTTTTAGCTCCACTATTGAATTAATTTACCGAAAACAGGGCTTCTGTTTAGCCAAACAGAATACTGACATGAAACCAAGAAGAAGATTCACACAGAGATTAAGATGACCTTTCGAAAGATCGAATATGAACCATGCAGAAACAAGTCAAGCCGTGTCATGCATCAACAGAGGCTCTCGAATCTCGACATGTAAACTCCTTGGCAATATACATCAGTTCGTCCATCTGTACTATGGCATGTCATTTCAGCGATCGCCGTCGACCGCCATTTACTTAATCAACAATCTGGGTCAAAGCGACGGAAAATAAAGAGACAACGAATGCGAATGCATAAAGAGAGCAATCAAATATCTGCGCAGTGCATCCACTGCTGCGAATCATTCTCAATGGATGTTGCAAATAGAAACCAACCGATTCTTAACGTATTAAATTTATCATCAGAGAAAAAAGTTCACTGATCAAAGAGTGATCCACTGGTATGCCAACATGCCAAATCTTTATGAATGCTAACTGCAGTGAGAATGAGAGATATGGCAGAACTCAAAACCACAGAAACAAAAGCAAAGGCATCAAAGTGGAGATGATCTTGCAAAAGCGAGTCAAGAAATCAGCGGTCTTCCGAGCACCGGCCCCTTCAACAATTTTTTCGTCATCATTCTTTGGCAACGGCTGGTTCAGCATCCGAGAGATAGTCATGCCTGGAAACACAGGACCTAACAAGCTCAGTAGAAGTTCTTTATCTCATTCGGTCGGGCCTGGACTACAAAGCAGATGGGCTGAATGCCCAGCAGTCATGCAATTCAATGATCATTACTGTAGATATGATTAGCATAGTAACTCAGAGCACTAAGCTATTACTGTAGACATGGCTCGGTTGCTTTTCCATCTTCTCATGACTAGCTATCTAGATTGAAGAAATCTCAAGTGACTCAAGTATAAATATCAGAAGACTACGAAGCTAGTTTGTACAGGTGGGAGAGCCAAGAAGTAGAAATAAAGCCGTGACAAGATGATGACAAACATGAACACATTTTTTTTCCTCTAACTGACACATATAATGGGAGTGTGAAAAGGATGGCTGCGTAGGCTTCCAGATGGGTAAACATATAAAGTCTTACCACCATATATCCGGTGATAGACAGGTTAAGGATCCAATTCAAGGGTATAGAAACAAACGAGGAGAAAGTTCATAATTTTTTTTTTTTTGAAAATTAAAAGGCTAATGATTTGTTAGACTATTCCTTCTTCCAAATCAGTTGATGAAAAACATTACCAGGAAATTTGGCATAGGCAATGGTTCTACTCCTAAAAATTATGAGATAATCACAAACACCGACTTACATCAGCAATTTGCGACTTACTTCTGTATTATAGAGAGTCTAAACTCACCGAATTTTGCGCCCTAATTGATAGAGGCCTGTCCCAGCCATAGCAACATTTACACTGAAGAGATTCCAATTTTTCTGTAATTCAGCGGGACAAACACTGCTCAGTACCATGGAGATTTTTTCTCCAAAGAAAATGAGAATAACATTTAATGCTGACAGAAAAAAAGGCAAGCAACAACAATCTTTGCGAGCCAGCAACGGCTTCTCATTCTGTTATCAGTGTTTGACAGCTTGAATGTGAGACACCCTACTCAAGGTAACAAATGATAGCTTCAATCATCTTAACCTTGATCTTGCCATTTATGTCAAGAGACCTATCCATGTAGTATTTTCTATCCTCGCCCTCATCTTCATGGATACAAATGAATACAGAATACACAGCTTCACTTTCCTTCTCGAGGAAAAGAAAAGGATCTAAATTCTCAATCTCAATTGCCAATATTGTGTAAGCATACAGTCAGCATATCCAGCACAGGCAATTCATTTTATCCGTAGATACTTACAGGAGTAATCACTGTGCTGTAGCGTGACCAGATAATACCAGTGGCGGTGACCGCTGCAGACAATGCGTCAATCACATGAGACAAAGGCCACAAACTATCTACGCGCGTCATAATGATACCAGCAATTGGAAAGCCGCTTAGCAATAGCATACATATAAAAAAATTTCAAAGACTTACCAATTTGCTGAGGATAAGAGAGCTTTTCTGGCGGTTTAGAGAAGTCGGCAATGTTGGCTATGCTGATGCCCCATTTAAACGTCGGTGCCCAAAAGTGAACTGCATTGACAGGGCGATGAACACAAGTCTTTCGCATCAGAGATGCAACGCAACACAACCAAATATCAGCCAAAACAGCAGGAACAAGCACCAACCCAACCCAACCCAACCGTCTCTAACAATTCTAATCAAATCCGAATGCACGAAATGCATATCCAAATTCCCTCAGCAAGGCTGAAAACACCTCAACAGACATTAGTCAATGCATCTAGACGAAGTCGAATTCTAACTCCAGCAGCTATAAAACCAAAACTTTCTCGGAACCGCACCTACCCATTTGACGGATTTCGCATCTATCCACTCTAGATTCTCCTCAGTGAGAGCACGCGTAAAACAAACCGCAAATGAACAAATTCATCGCGTACGAACGCGACAAAGAATCATGGGTCTCGACAAGACCGAAGACAAAAACACACAGCGTGGGGCAATCATCAGGCCCGCCCGCACCGAACGTGGTCCAACAGAGAGAGAGAGAGAGAGAGAGAGAGCGGGGGCGATGGGTTATGAGCGACGACTCACTGGTTTTGGGACCGGCCGGATGGTTCCAGAGAGCTTGCAGCTTCGAAGCAGACATGGATGACGATCCGCCCTCCTTCCTTCCCTTCCTCCCTCCCTCTTCCTCTCTCTCTCTCTGCGAGCCTCGCTGCGATTCCAGAACGGCGGAGAGAGAGAGAGAGAGAGAGAGATCGCTGGTGGTGGGTTGGTAGGTCGCGTTGGGGAGGAGGAAGGAGCCCCGCCCGATTTCTTGTTGATCGGAGTCGTTGACCGGCGCGAGCACGCCACGCGGCGCGAGCGCGACCTCGAGCTCACTGATCTTTCCGTGGGACTTTTGTACGCGATAATTACCGAATTCTCTCTCTCTCTCGTGCTTGAAATATCCACACCTGGGACCCGGGAAAAGACACGTGTTTTTTTCTTTTTCTTTTTTCTTTTGGGTCTTCTAAGAAACATTCTCTTCCAAACATTGGCACAAAAAAAATCGAAGAAAAAAAACATTTTCTTCGAGACATGTGTTTTGATGAGTGAAATTTGCCCTCCCTTATGTTTTTCTTGAGTAGTGTGTAATCATATGTATTCGATGGACAGGAGTAGAGCTAGCCGTTTTGTACCATCTAAATCATGTAAAAATTAGAGGTATTCCTTATCGAATTAATAAATCGAGTTGAAACCAATCGAAGCGATTAATTCGAGAATGAGAGCGAATTACGACCATCTATTTTTTTTCCCGATTCCTTTTTATTTTTCTGCTCAACGGAACATAATCGCACATTTCCTCGGGGCCGATGTCGCGTGATGACTAGTTTAATCAGAAACCAGCGCATTGCCCGTTCCTCGGTCATTCCTAAAGAAGGATGAACGCGAACACAACCGACGGGAACCCATAATGTACGTTGCGGTAAGTAGATCGAGAAACTTCGCGACGCTAATCGCAATGTATAACGAGCGATTTGAGAAAACAAAATCGATAATTTCACATGTGAACTTGTGGCAGCCGTTTACAATTGAAGGAGGGGTCTCTTTACGCCATTAGAGAAATCGGATCACGTGCCCCCATGACATCTGTTGACCACCTCGCAGCCACGATTGTAGCTGTTGGATGGGGTAGGCAGGCAATTGGGGCCCTTGCAGTACGCCCTGCCCCCCTTGCTTATGGCTCCGTAGTCGATCGTTCGCGCCTCGACGGCTACATCGTCCGCCGCGAACGAGCACACCACGAAGGCGACGATGCAAATAGCCAAAGCCTTCCTGGAGATAGCCATTTGCCGATTTCTCTGTTGATCAGATCCCTTTTGGTAGGGATTAATGACATCTGAGGAGGTGATTATATACTAATCGGGTGGTTTTGGGTTGTTAATTGTGAGTTGGCATTGATGGTCCAGGGACAATGTTCTTTATTTATCTAAAAATAGATTTTTCTTTTGAAGTACCGGCGAAGCTTAAAAGTAGAGAAACCGAACCGGAACAGATGCTTCGATATAGGCTTTCCCCTTGAAATTCTGGTAAAATTTAAAAGTGGTAGTTTCCTAATTAAAATCACTGTTGTTAATTTATTCTAGATACTTAAATGCTCACGCGTTAGTCTACTTAAATTTGGGTCTTTTTGGATTAATCAGACGGTCCTCGACTATTAATTCACGGGATCTCGATGTCAGCGGTAACGAGTTTTTTTTGCGAATGCAAGGGGATATTTTCAATATCGTGGAAATGGACTTTCAAGTATAGATTCTAGATAGTTCACATGATAAAAATATTTTTTAGGATTTATTTATAGTTTATGACGTATAAAGAAAATAGATTTTAGATAGTTCGCATTATAAATATGATATAACGAGTTTGATTTCATATGATACTAGCTGAGATTTATTAATAGGACAGCAAGAACCAAGACACTGATCCCTTAGCCACTCCTGAAAAACTAAATGTGGTTCGACTAAATTGAAATTAATTAAATTGGAAATTTTAATATTACTCCTTCGGAATAATCCCTACAACTAATTTTTCGTAGGTTGGACGGATAAAGTCTTATTTGATTTCATTTTGTATAAAATTCATTGAACTTAGGAATAAATGTTTGTGCAATTGCCAACGTAAATGCAAAGAGTAGTTGTCTAAAACTAAATCTTTTAGCACAAATTCAAGCATCAAAGCCAAAAGATGAATTCTGAATTGTCCTTTTGTGACTATTGTTTGTGAATGATTTTTGGCATAATGATGTTCAGAATGCAGCAATTTTAACGAACGCATTTTAGTTACGTGTCTGGAAATCGAACATATTGTTGGAAATTTACGAACTTAATCATTACAGCTAAGACGCCATCTGTAACTCAAAGAAAGGCTATTATCATATCCGATGTTTGGTATCCCGTAATGGATTGGATATATCCAGATTAGGCGTAATTGAAACCACAAATAAACCATCCCGAGTCTAGGAGGGAGATAAGTTTATAGAAGTCCCGGATAAGAAAGAGAAAAATCTACCACGATAAGCACGACTAAGGGTCGGCCATAACAAACAAATCGATCAATTGTACACCCTAAATTGCGATGACATAAATCAATTTGGCAAAAGAATAAAAGATTAATAATCTCCTATATGCATTATTAATAAATTTATAGTTAATGATTAGGGTCTTTTAGACATACTCTACGGGTTAATTCCAAAAAACAGCACTAACTTTAGGTCGAGGGACAATTTTGGCCCGAACTTTTTTTTGTTCCATAAAAAAGCATCAACTTTAGGTCGAGGGACAATTATGGCCCGAACATTTTTTTGTCCCGTAAAAAAGCACCAACTTTAGGTCGAGGGACAATTCTGACCCGAACTTTTTTTTGTCTCGTAAAAAAACACCAACTTTCACTTAAATCCCAAATCTGGCTCTTATTGACTTAAAACCATTGATTTTCCAACTTGACTATTCCACCTTAGCAATAAATCCACGTGACTTGCTGACTGGATTTAAAGCATTATTTATTGTCTTATTCTCTGAACCATAGCTTGAAGAATAACGGTGAAACTGTTCGTCTCCTTCACTTCACCGACAAGTCAAAAATATCTCCAGATTGAATCTTTTTGGCCAAACTTCGTCGTTTTGTCGTAATCTGAAGCTGTAGACCACCATCCGTCGACATACGCCATGAAAGAGATTCGCCAGGCTCACCACCATAACTTTTTTTCTCAAACAAGGGTAACTTCAAACAGAAAATCAATGGGGAGCCAAATTTGGGATTTAAATGAAAGTTGGTGCTTTTTTACGAGACAAAAAAAAGTTCAGACCATAATTGTCTCTCGACCTAAAATTTGTGTTTTTTTATGGGACAAAAAAAAGTTCGGGCCAGAATTGTCCCTTTACCTAAAGTTGGTGCTTTTTTATGGAACAAAAAAAAGTTCGGGCCAGAATTGTCCCTCGACCTAAAGTTGATGCTTTTTTTTGGAATTAACCCCATACTCTTATAACACCCTTCTAGGCTTCTCCAAGAAATGAATTCGCGGCCTGCGGCGGCATTGGTCGAACTTCTCACAACCGCGTTCGTAATGGTCGGAATCAAGTGGCAAACAGCCTATGCCCTTGCAATACGCCCGGCCCCCTTTCCTACTGCTACGGTAGGTGATCATCCTCGTGTCGACGACCACATCATTCATCGAGAGCGAACGAGCACATCACCACGGCAACAATGCAAAGAGCCAAGACCTTATTTGACATCGCCATTGTTGATTTTGGCGAGGATTCTAGCTCTCCGAGAAGCTCGTTTATACCCATCTCGTGTCGTTTTGGGGCTGTTAATTGTGAGTAGGTAATGTTGGTTTAGGGTTTCCAATTTCAGTTCCACTGTCAAACTGATATTAACCAACAAAAAAAAAACCCAAAACCAAAAGATCTAGAAAGCTCATAACCGCACCGATCAAAGGATTAAGGATAGCCATGACAATGGTGGGTAATATTCATATAAGGACTTGTCTTTTGATATAAAACATTGTAAAACCATGCAAATGGAAATGAGATGCATATGGACCACCATCTATAACGTGAGAAATTTGTGCAGATTCTTTCTTGGAGTTATGTTTTTATGCCTTTGTCATCGAACCGCTCGAGCCGGCCTTCGCGTGAGGGGAAGGGTAGAGATATGAGGTACATTTCGCGTTGCACTCCGATTTCTTTAAATTTAATTTGGTTTAGGGTTTATATTTGAGTTGCCATTATAAGGAAATAGGCCCACGTAAGAGAACGGATCCTTCACTCTCTCGAGTCATTATCATGCATGAGGAAATCTTCAGCTATTATTATTCAACCAGTAACACAGCAACTGATGCACAAAGATGCTTAATTTGCCATATGTGAATTATGGAGTTGTTTTCAACAATGAAATCTGAAAGTCTACTGAAATAGAACTTAGGTGGACCTAAAGCTTTTTATAACAAGAGCAACCGTGCTACTAATATAATCACACCGAGTATCATCTTACAAATATCACTTTGCGGAAAATAATTCTTCATGTAAATATTGTACACCGTAATTGATATTCAGTTCGACTGAAATTTGTCTGGACATTTATTTGATACGCTACAAGTACGTGGTTGCGGGCTCATATGCGTGCCAAAAAAATAAAAACCTCAAATAACTGAAGTTGATACTTGTGATGAAAGAGAAAAAAAATATAATATTCTGTATGTTTCGATGCAGAATGCATGAGCCTAATTATTAGCTTTATAGAATTACAATCCAAGGTAATGAGATATTACGATATTAATTTCAATTAATCAGAGAAGTTATGGAAACAGACTTGATATATTTCAATCGTCTCTAACAAAGAAAGAGAAAAGTCTACCCCGAGAAGCATATATAAGGCTGCAATGAACACATCAATTGATTGTAGGCCATGAAATGTGATGACATGTATTAATTTGGCAAAAGACTAAAGCATTAATGATCCGAAAGATTTCAACAATTCTTGAAGCACCCTTCTAGTTTTTCCAAGGAATCAATTCATGTCCCTCCGCGGCACATGTTGGACACCTCGCAACCACGGTTGTAATGGTTGGATGGAGGAGGCAGACGCGGCCTACAATGACCGCGCCAGCAAAGATGCACCCCGTTCCCTTTTATTATGCTGCCGTAGCTGATCATCCTCGCATCAACGACCACATTGTTCGCCGCGAACGAGCACACCACCAGGGCGACGATGCAAAGCGCAAACGCCTTACTGGACATCGCCATGGTTGTTGATTCCCTGAGAACTAGTTCTCAAGAAGGAGCTATTTTATACTAATCACTATTGTGGGTTTGCTAATTTTGAGTTTGGGATTGGTGGTGTAGGGTTATAATTTCAGTTACGCTACCCTGGCCAGCCCCTTAAAAAGGGAATGACCAATTGACTCGGGCGAGAACCATTCAAAGATTAAGCCAATCGGTGGTCGAAAAGCAAAGGACCGTGCAAGTTCATCAATGCACTAAACAAGGGTTTGGAGATGTGGCCATGGCGATTGTGTGTTACTAATTTAAGGACTCGTCTTTCGTGTACACAACTTGTAAAACGATGTGAGTACTAAACATATGGACCGCTAAGTATAATGCAGGAATTTTCGGCGAAGTCTTTTCTTAAAGTTACATTCTCATTAGGTATCGGAGCTAAAGTCTCGAGCTCGATTATTTGCGCCCACCGTCACCCATGTAATTGTCAGGAAATATCTCTGCAATCGTCGATGTGAAACTAGAATGTTGTTATCTGAACTACATCGTTTAGCGCAAATCTTTACGCATTAGTTTGGCAATCTTGATTCTGGGGTCCTCTTTGAATATGAAGAAATGGGAAGCTAATGCTCGTCTTGTGGAGCTGGATCTAATCTTCTGTAAGCATCTGGGTACAGATACATGGTCCTGTGTCCGACCAAATGTCTGAAAGAAATGCAAGATCTATAGATCGAAGAATTGGTAAGATTTGAAGACTACTAAACTTGAAGTTGCGCGTTTAGCAGTCTTCTTGAAGTTGCGCGTTTAGCCTATGTGGTTGAAGCGGCTTTCTCCTCCGAGTTAAAGAGTCTTTTTGAATGTTGGAGTTCCTCGTTTCCGTTTCGATTGTGGTCTGATTGATCGTACTGATAAGTACTGCGATGAGAGGTTGGAGGAAGAAGTGAACAACTAAGGGGGAAAAGTAAATATGGTTCCTGAATAAGATAGTCCACCGATCTTAAAGCTATGGGAAAAGAAACTATAAATGTCATAATTTTTATACCACGTCAAAAGATCATCAAGTACCAGTTTAGTTATAAAAATAAAAAAAAGTTGAGCACTTCGCTGTTATCGGCAATTTGAGTGGCCAGAAAATCCGACTTGGCACTATTTTATTATGAATCGATCTACGTGGCTTGCCGGAGAAATTCAATCGGCAAAAGCCAAAGGTAACGATGTCATTTTCGCCCTATAGTTAAAATAAGGCCCCATTTTTGTTTTTGGTCAGATAAGGCTCCATTTATTTTGCAGAAAATGTGATATTTTTGGAAAATGATTTCCAGGAAGTCGAAAATGACAATATTTTCCAATATTTAACTGAAATTTAAAATGAACTAGAATATATTTTTCGGGGAAAAGTGCCAAAAAAGTCCTAAACCTTTTGCATTTGTGTCAATTTAGTCCTAAACCTTTTTTTTGCGCCAATTCAGTCCTAAATCTTTTGCATTTGTGCCAATTTAGTCCTAAACCTTTTTTTGGTGCTAATTCAGTCATAAACCTTTTGTATTGGTGCTAATTTAGTCCTAAATATTTTTGTCTTTGTGCCAATTCAATATTTCCGGTCAATTTTGCTGACGTGGATGCCGGACGGTCACCGACGCTGACGTGAACAACTTTTAATAATATTTTAATATTTTTTTGAATTTTTATTTATTTTGTATTCTTTTTTTTTCCCTTCCTCCTTCCTCCAGACGGTCGCCGGACTGACGACCGGCCACCAAGGTCGACCTCATCAGTAGGGGTGAGCGGTTCTAGGTTCCGGGTAGGTTCCGCCTGGAACCTGAAGCCTACCCTCGGGTACAGGTTACTCAAAATGAGGAACCTGGAACCTACCCGTCGGAACGTGGAACCTGGAACCTACCCTGTCACAGGTTCCAGGGTCGGTTCCAGGGTCGGTTTCAGGTTCCAACAGGTTCTTTTTTTTTTAATTTCGGTTCCAGGTTACAATTCCATTCCATACAATACAATCAAACACCTCCCCTCGAAAAAAAGAAGAAGAAGAAAACCTATCATTCACAATAAAGGTGCATCGCCAAATCATCCCCAGATGATTCACTATGATCAAAGCAAGAAGAAAGCCGAAACCTTGCATAATATCTCCAGTCACACGCTCACGCAAAATAAAGAAGTACCAACGGATTAACAGAGAACACGATAATGTTGATTAGATTAAACATCGAGAATTAGATGACGGCGAGATTCAATGATTAGTTTGTGCTTCCGCGCGGTACTATTATACATCAGGATTGTTAAATGCTTGGAAATGCACAACATCAGCTGAGAGGGCCTCATCTGATACTTTAAAGAAAATATCAGCACACACTTCAGTAGGAAAATGGTCTTAAATCTATAAAAAGCTTTTTATGATATAATCATGCACTGTTTCAAAAAACAAAACATGTCGCGCAGTTTCAAAGTTAGTGTTCAGAGGATAAACCTATAACAGCCTCATTCCTATGAGAGGAGAAAAAAGACAGAAACACAAGGAACTTTGAAACTTACAGGCGGCACTCCACACTTGTGCCATGGTTGCGAAAGGGCAGTGAAGACCGTATCAAGTCTGTCCATCCTCTTCTTAGGAGGTGGCTTTGCCCGAGACTTTCTCTTCCCCATAGCTCTAGTTCCTTCTGCTTTTAGTCTGCAATCAATCAAACATGATAAATCCACAAATCCCAAATGTAATGCTCATACAGGCCTAACCCTGGCACCCGTGCATTCAATCTATGCAGTTCAGGTCAATAATACAGGCCAGAATTACTTATCACACAAAAGTTTAAAATTTGTAATCCAGAATAAAAAAGGGCATTCAAAAGTCAATTTAAGCAAAGAAAAATAAAATTAGAAACGGAGAAGCCCCGGAAAGAGTAATCTCCACCTGATAATAAGAACCCAATTGAGAACTCTTACTTTTGTGATGAATGGAAAATATGCCTCAGGTGAAATTCTTTCTGATTCTACTCTAGTTTCTCAAGAAAGATAAGGAAATCGATGCACTACGCGAAAACATTAAAAACCCCTTTTTTATTCAGTTTCACTCATAAAAAAGATCATAGGATCAAGAGACAAAAGTCTTCCTCTATCATGCCATTATAAGAGTCAGACTACCCTTCCACGAAAAGCCTCAAACAATTCAATCTAATCTCTCTATCGATCCAAAATCGCGAAAGAACAATTCTTTCCCCTGATTCTTCCATACCCGCTCAGTCCCAATCAAAAACGCAGAAAAGACAACGATTCCAATGAATTTCGCAATCGGTGCCTGGTTTTTCACAAGAAATCGAAAGACAAAGACGACCCAGAAGACCGAAACCTCCCTATTCGATCGTGAACACCGAACTACACACAATCTACAAAGAGATTAGCAATGCATCAACGAACAAAGCCCAATCGAGTCATTCAAGAATCAAAAGGAGAGCAAGAATATGTACCGAGATCGATGAACAATGCTGCGGTTCTTGAAACGAGAGCACAAACCCTAGGCCCCGAGAGAAAATTTGAGAGATTTGGGAAGGCAATGAGGCAGCGCGGTTGGTATTTATAAGGTAGGGTCGATGTTTAATCTAATCGGAGCGACGGAGCTTCAGAGGAGGAAGACGGCTGTGAGCCCGAATAATCGGAGCGAATCCGTGTGGGGAGGTCACAGGACCTGCGGCGAAGAAGGCGGAGCGAGGCGGAAGTGGGAGAGAACTGTGGAAGCGGAAGCGGGAGCGAGGGCGAGGCGGAAGCGGGAGCGAGGGCGAGGAGCAAGGCAGAAGCGGAAGTGGGAGGGAGCTTTGGAGGATCGGGTGTGATTCAGGAGGAGAAGGGAGCATTTGGGAATTAGGGTTTCTAATACTAAGTTTATGTTTTTGGTTCCGGTTCCAGTTCAAGGTTCCGGTTCCTATAGGAACCGGGAACCAAAACCGAAATAGCCGGTTCCTAAAAATGGGGAACTGGGAACCGGATCCTCTGTCCATGGAACCTGGAACCGAACCGGATCCACCGGGTCCGGTTCTCCGGTTCCCGGTTCTACCCTGGAACCGCGCTCACCCCTACTCATCAGCCACTAATGAGACTCGCCCTCGCCAACGACAGTGAAGGTGAGCCTCGTCATGGCTGAGAGAGGCACGACCTCGCCGGATCTTGTGAGGTCGAGCCTTGCCGGCCGCTGGGCGAGGCCCGACCTCACCAGATCTGGCGAGCAAGACGAGGTCCGGCCTCGCCCAGCCATGGTGAGGCTCGTCTTCGCCGTTGCTGGCGAGGGCGAGCCTCGCGGCGAGGTCGACCTCGCCAAGGGTCGGCGAGGTCGACCTCGCCAGCGGCTGGGCGAGGCACGTCCTCGCCAAATCCGGCGAGGTCTAGCCTCGCCTAGCCATGGCGAGGTCATGCCAGTGGCCGACGAGGACCTCTGGCCTCTAGCCGGTCCGGCGATCGGCTGGAGGAAGGAGGGGGGAGGGAAAATAAAAAAAAATCAATAAAATATTAAAATATTATTAAAAGTTGTCCACGTTAGCGTCGGCGATCGGCCGGTCGACGTCCACATCAGCAAAATCTGGCCGGAAGGACTGAATTGATACAAAGACAAAAAGGTTTAGGACTGAATTGACACCAATACAAAATGTTTATGACTGAATTGATACCAAAAAAAGGTTTAGGACTAAATTGGCACCAATATAAAAGGTTTAGGACTAAATTGGCACCAATGCAAAAGGTTTAGGACTAAATTGGCACAAATGCAAAAGGTTTAGGACTAAATTGGCATAAAAAAAGGGTTTATGACTAAATTTGCACAAATACAAAAGGTTTAGGACTTTTTTGGCACTTTTCCCATATTTTTCGTCGTTTTATTTGGCAAATCTCATTTGATTTTCCTAAGGAAAATGACCAAAATATTCGAATTATTTGACGAGGCTTGAACGTTTCATTAACTAAAGGCCCGAGCCCTTGTGCAGCCCGAGCCCAAGCGCCAAGGACTTGTGCATGGGCTTTGTGGACTCGGGCTTGAGTCCCGGGGACTAGATCTTGAGCGCAGAGGACCCAAGCACTGCTTCTATGGATCCAGGCTGGTGGTGTTGGGCATTTGGCATGGGCACTAAGGCTTTGGGCCCGACCTCAATGGACTCAAGCGTGAGCGTTGGGGACCTAGGTCTGGGCATCGGGGGCCTGGGAACCGGCGATAGGGTTCCCGTGTCTAAGCATAGAATTTTGGGTTCTCTCGTTGCTCATGAAGGAAACACGATCAAACGTTGGGAGCGCGCAATAAAAGCCCGATACCTTCACCAGGGGAGATCATCAAGAGAAAACTCAAGTCTGAGCCCGTCAATATATCCAATTGGACCCACCTTCACTCAAAAGCTTAAGCCAATAAATTATGGGCCAACCATAATATATTAACGCTCCACACCACACCAATTATTTGATATGGAGCTTTCTAACACAATTCACACGTGTATCTTAACAAATACAACAATAAAAGGCGAAACAAAACGCATCAGCACTTCCAATAAATGCATAAACAAACTCACGCCTCTTATTTCATGCAAATGCATAGTCACTCTGAAACAATTTAGTCATTGTCAACATCAGCAAAACTCCACAAAAATAAGACGATGCTAAAGAAATCATAGTACGAATTTGACAATAGAAAGATAGTATTTGATGGGGACGATATGAAAAATCCCCAGATCTGGAATAATGAGAACCCTAACCCTTATTTTGATCACGCTAATCATAGTTTCCAGACATGTTACTCACCGAATCCTCCATTTCTCTCTCTTCTCCGGTGGTTGAGCCATTGTTCCTCAATTTCTCACCACAAAGATCGGATTGAGTAATTAGACAGAGAGCAAAAAGAACAAGAGAGAGAGAAAGAGGGTGCGTCGTAGCCTTGAGGAAATGATATCAGTCGGAACGTGGGTTTCGTCCTAAACGTTTTTTTTTTCAAAAATGTCACATTAGACTTAAGTCTTTTTTCAAAAAATAAAAAGATATGTAGGATGAATGCCGCAATTTATCGTTGGATGCACTTTAAGTGATCTTTTTTCTATCGATGTTGGCAATTCTGGTGTCCTTTGTTTTTTACCTGAGGTTGTTTGATACTTCTTTAATTGGAACGAGGCTATGAGGAAGGAGAGGGAGAGAATGAGAGATGTGTGGAGGAATGCAAATCTTAATCCCAACCCTAAACCCTTCTAAAAGGTTCATACTCTTCTTGCTCCACAGCCAGAACATCTTGTAACATCAACTCTTTAGAGAGGGGCAAGGGGGTTAGTGGCCCAACTAGAGGGAAAATTCCTTTCAAAGATTCACATTGCTTGGTGACCAAAATATAGAAAATTCAAAGACAAACAAGGTGATCGATTTATAAGCTACCATAAACAATTTCATTTCTCGACCTATATCTTTTGCGATATGCCATGATCTTGATAAGTCCATTAACATCTTAAATTGACAATCTTTCAATCCTTATAACGTAGAATCGATAGTACAAATCCAATATTTTCTTTCATATGGGGGTGATCGAATTACGAAAATATTAGCACGGTCCACCGGATTGAATTCATTTCTTTTAAATGGGTGCAATATACATTTAGCCCTATTGATTGATTCTTCATAAGATATGTACATTTCTCTAATACATTGGCTTGGAATGTTTCCACGTTCTTCTTCTTCTTCTTCTTTGCATTTTTTCCATTTTCCATTTTCCCGAAATGCACTTGCAGTATCCAACAAATCGAAATGAAGCAGATGGCTATTATCGTCCTTTCACACTCGACCTCCTCCTCCATTCGCAGGAGAGGAAAATGATGGTGGCGATGACCAGGCCAATAACAGTAACGAAGCCCATCGTCCTCGTCGCGCTCACCTCCGTCGCCACCGTCCTCTTCCTCTTCCTCTCCCGGCCAGACCCGCCTGCTCCGGAACCAACCTCTATGGCGCGAAGCTTCGTGCTATGGCTCCACGGGTTGGGCGATTCGGGCCCTGCCAACGAGCCCATCAAGACCCTCTTCACTTCTCCGGAGTTCAGGCTTACCAAGTGGTCCTTCCCTTCCGCTCCTGCCAATCCGGTCACTTGCAATTGTAGGTCCTGTCGTGCCCTTTTGATGTGCGTGCTCATGGGGTTCTTAAATTTTAGTCGTCCGTGAGATTTTGTCTGCGATGAGTAGGTAGTGTGATCGAATGATGTTGAACTATTCGGTGTCTGCAATTAGAGCGGTCAAATGGGTTGTGGGATCTTCCGAAATGCCGTTGGAAAGTTGGGTTTTTTGTTGATTTCGGCGTTGTTTGGTTAAATGTGTGCTTGTTTGTGAGATTGAAGCTATACATGCGGATAATGGTAATTCAATCTTGAAGTCCTTTTGGGCCTTGAGGGAACCTGGAGTTTTTAGCTGGAAATAAGAGTTTTTTCTAGTATGACAATCAAAGATTGGGTGTTGCGAACGAAGGCTGATGGTTTGCATTGTTGGAGAGTATAGAGATTGGAAACCCATTCGTGCTTGACATGCCTTTCGACCTCACAAGAAATCAATCGTTCGCTGAATATTACATGGGGAGAGTGAACCGCCTTCAGATATTTTTCTCCTTCGTACTAGTTAAACTTATTGTAAATGACTTCATTTTGGCCATTCGAAACATCTTTCCCTAATCAAACTCCGGCCATGAAGAAGAAAGAGATTTCCTTGCTGGTTTTTCTACAGAATAAAAGGATCATACAATAGCATGCCTTGGCTTTTCATCATTAGTTTCGGATACCCTGAGAAAATGACATCTCTTGACTTGTCCTGCAGTGTTTGTAATTGCAGATAATCATTCTTACCTTTTTCTGGAAATATAAACCCTTCCATGCATCCTTTCCTACATTTACTCACATATTCGTCCTTGCAGATGGTGCTGTCATGCCTTCATGGTTTGATATTCATGAGATCCCTATAACAGCTGTAAGTATGATATTCTCGTGCACATCTTTCTTTTAACTCCACGTTAACCTCCCGATGGTATTCAATAAGCCCTGGTTGATTTTAGTTGAGATTACAATTCATCATATCTGAAAGGGAGAACAGATGAAGTCACCTTGTGAGCAGGAAACCCACCAAAAGCAATTTCTCTGCTGCTACGACTTGTCTTCTTCCTATAAGCAGTGAGACATCTAATATTTTTCCAAGGCCATAAACATATTTTTGGATTCCAGAACTCCTGTAGCTACTCTCGTAAGATGTAATTAACAATCTCCTCTAAGACATGAAGTGGATTGACTGGCCCTAAACAAGTATTACAGTGTGCTTCTTCTCTTGGCTTCGTCATGTGACATGGAATGGGTTACATATGCAGGATTCTCCAAAAGATGAGAACGGAGTGCTTCAAGCAGTAAAGAATGTGCATGCAATGATTGACAAGGAGATAGCTGCTGGCATAAGTCCCAATAATGTGTTTGTGTGCGGCTTTAGCCAAGGAGGTCTCTCTCTCTCTCTCTCTCTCTCTCTCTCTCTCTCATGTAGGGAGTGTGCATGCTAGCATATGCATTTGTCCACATCACATGCATATACCTTTATCTTCATTGCATTAGTCTTACAGCTGGGTGGTTTCATGTTTCGCAGGTGCTTTGACCTTGGCAAGTGTTCTCCTGTACCCTAAAACTCTTGGAGGTGGTGCAGTATTCAGTGGATTTGTTCCTTTCAATTCATCCGTCCTCGATCAAGTCTCGCCAGATGCCAAAAGAGTACTTTATCTCGACCTTGGAAACTTTGACTTCATTTACTTTTCCTCTTCACTGCTTCATTCTGCTACCTATTTGACATGTGTATTAGACAGAGAGATTAGCTTTATAGTTTGATAAGTTGTTTTCTCGGTGTTAGTGCTGGCAATAGATGGAAACGTACAAGCTTTTGTTGATAACAGGCTCCTGTAAATGGAGCTTTGGTTTTTTTCATTCCTCATTGTTTCCTTCTCCTTTCTCCTTGCTTTTCTCTTTCTCCATTTTCTTGTCTCAATTGAAAAATACATATAGTTAGACCAAAATTCAGTCAAATCTTTTTCGTAAGTCGTCTTTTATATCCTACATCTTTGGTGATGGCTATGATTTGGTCTAGTTTGTCTCAGTAGTAGCATATGGAAAATGAAGTGAACATTGTAAAATGTGCTTTTAGGCCTACAAGAGATTGTTTTATGCCAAGTTCTTCAATCAATTCAATGGCCACTTCCGCTGGAAAAGAATGTCCACTGTTGTGTCAGGACTAAGGCCGATATTTTTATTTGAAATGCAGATTGGCAATTCCTTTACTGATTAGATCTTCTGAAAATCCATTTTTTTCTTTGGTACGTCGGCATGAATTATGGTTCTCTGTGCAGACACCTATCTCGTGGGCTCATGGAATTGATGACAGAACGGTATTATTTGAAGCTGGGCAAGCGGGTCCACCATTCCTTGCAAAAGCTGGTGTGAGTTGCGAGTTTAAGGTAATTCTATTCAACTTTTTTAAATTTTTACTTGATAGTCCTTTGATGGTTCGTAAGTAAATTTTCTTTATGTACAATTGATATGTAGAAGTCTAAAAGAATTTTATAAATATTTAGGCTTATCCTGGTCTTGGCCATTCTATAAACAATGAGGAGCTGCGTAATTTGGAGTCATGGATTAGAGCTCGTCTTCAGAGTTCTTCATAGAATTATTGGTATGTGATGATCAAAGTGGCGTCCTTCCTGTAGATTTGTGCTATGCCACATGTGCAAATTGATACATGAAAAATGTTCAAGATGTGCACATCATATGCTAAGCATTCTTTCAATATGGTGTTGAATTTGTTCTTAGGGAAATATTTTGGGATGGTATTATTTCTTTTCTATTTATAACAAAAGCAAAGAACTGGACCAAGGGCGCCCAAATATGTTGCTTTAGTTTTTTCATATATTTTGACTTGATGTAAATTGTGGACATAGGGAAATTGTTGTGTGAATCTAGTAATTTTAAAGTAAGAGAAATGAAAAATGAATATTGTATTTTGAATACAGACAAGAGGGCGTTGCATGGAAATTTCTTTAGAAGATATTCAGCATATAACAATTAGCATATGTTTGTGGTATTAGGCAATAGTTCTGACCAAAAAAACAAAAGGCAATAGTAAAATAGGAAACAACCGTTTTATGATGTCTCTCTCTTTCATTGTCATTGTTCTTACTCCAGTGGCTTATAAAGGAAGTAGATGTCATGCTGTTTGTGTCAGACGCCAGCCGTTGAATCAGTCATTTGTTGTTAGATGTTTAGACTGCAGTACTTCCATGTTGGAAATGAATGTCAGTGCATTAAGATGTGGAGTTGACTTCATTTCCAATGCAGATATGCCATAGAATCAGTCGGTATGTGATCTGATTCGCAATTGACTGCGTCTTCACTAACCCAACTGAAACCTGTTGCCATCATCAAATTTTCTTGTTCCAAATATAATAATGGTGAGGATAATGCTGATGATGGTTGCATTTGCTTTTGAGAGCATGAGGTTGGCTTAGTGGTTAAGAAACGTGGTTGTGTGCGAGGATTGGGCACTCGGCACAAGTCCTTGTCCTAGTGCAATAAATTTCCTGTCTGGGCTACCCGCCCGGTTTTTGGCTCATGTTCTCCTTGGTCCAGGAGGTTAGTGGGATATTTTATGAGCCCAAGGCTTACCTACCTAAGATGGCTTTCTCGTCGTTAAAAAAAAACAGAGAGAAATAAAGAGAGAGAATCTTACTATAGTCTATGTATCCATAATCTGTAAGTCTCTAAATCCACATTAAAACCAAATCTTTGCTTGTTTATGTTTAGACCTTTTAAAGCTGTATAATAAATTATGCCTAGGGGGCATTTTGAAGTGTAGTCTCTCTCTCTCTCTCTCTCTCTCTCTCTCTCTCTCTGTTATAAGACCTCCTGAACCCTTTTCGCGACCCAGAAAAAAGCTCCGAAAACTTCATCGAGAAAACGAGAGCTATGAAGAAAGTCCGAAAAGGCTCGGTGCATCCATCACCGTCACTGCCAATCGTCGTGTCCTATTATCTCTCCCTCCTTCCAGCCACCATCCTTACCCTCACAGCGGCTCTGTCACCACAGGACAGAGAAGTCTTAGCCTATCTCATCTTTTGCTCCGCCCCAACTTCCACCATCAAGAACAACCTCAAAACCTCCCGCAGAGGCTCTTCTTCTGCCAAAAGCGGCACAGCTAATGATAATCATCCCTCGACCTTCAATTGTGACTGCTTCAGATGCTATATGAGTTACTGGGCGAGGTGGGACTCATCTCCAAATCGTCAGTTGATCCATGAAATAATTGACGCATATGAAGATGGGCTGACATCAGAGAAACGACCAAGAAATTCAGGAACAAAGAAGGAGAGAAGGAATAAGAGAAGGTTCAACGCCAGGTCTGGTGAGTCAAAGCGGTCAAACTCGGGGAATGCTGAGCTGGGTCAATCGGAGTCGTTGAGAGAAATGAAAACCGCCAATAATGGCAGCGGCGAGGAAGTGGCAGAGAAAGGACCATTGAGGAGGTTCTTAAGTTTCATCGCGGAGAAGATATGGGGTGTCTGAGATTGGCGAGTGCTGTTTTTCCCATTGAGTTTGAAGGGAAAAGCGGGGGGAGAGAGAAATAGTTCTGTAGATAGTTGCCTTACAATAATCGAGAATGTGAATGTGGCAGCTTCTCGGAATCATAATAAAGTATAAGTTACTCAGCTGAACTTTCTCTTCTCTCTTAGTTTTCTCGGAAAACATGCCGAGATAAGTAAAAGTCATGTAGAATCTGTGGCTTTCTTCTTTTGCCGGATTAGCTATTACTCTTAGGTGGATGAAGCTTGAGATTAACTTTGACTAAAATTGACATTCAGTTTTCGGTTGAGGCAGTTAAGTAACAATACTATTGGGTCGATAATCACCTCCTCTCCACGAAATGGGAGCTTGCTACTGTTAGCATTGGATTATCCCTGTCGAAATGGGTATAAGCATGCCAATAGTTTGATCATACCATAGACTCCGGTTGAAATTTTTTTCTTTTTGAATTGTAATTGGGGAAGTTCTGATTCATGCACTGGGGTATCCAAAACTTGATTTTGAATTTATATCAAAAGTAACGAAGCCAATATAAGTTGAGTCTGAATATTATCAACTCACTGTCTCCCTTTTGTTCCTACCTTTCTATATTATTCTTTCATATGGACTCGCATCTCTGTTGCAGTGAATGCAATTTGGTGTTAGATAGGTGAGAACTGGATGCAAATTTGTATGGAAGTAGTCAGTACATTACAATCTTATATCTTTTACAGTTATAAAGGTTAGTAAACGGGAGGCTTCGATCCATGTAACAAAAGAGTATAGAAAGGAGGCAAGGGCTTCGAATAAAGCGAGGTCCCACTAATGGAATTGGGGCTCCAGTCCAAAACTCCTTTTGGTGGTTCCCAAGAGCATGTTTTCTTCCTTTCCCTTAGTTTTCCTCACCCCCACTATGTCTGGACAGTATCATTGTCCACTGTCTCTTTTCATGTAAAGGCTATGTAGTTTTGTCCGGTTTATTTTTGGCTTAGGAAGAGAATGAACTCCTGATTTACTTCTGAACCATATGAGTCAAATTAAGGGTCATCAGCATCAGACTCAGAGAGAGAAACTACTTGACAACTGTCCGAAAAGCACTTACCTGCTCTTGACCGATTTGATTGTCTGTCCTTGTTTAATGTTTGCCTCTTGATTATTTTGACTTAAGGTGCAGAGTTTTATGCATCTGGAGATTATTATTAAAAAAAACACAGAAATGGGGTACAGTTGGTCAAGTCTGGGTAACAAGAGCACATTATTTCTATATTCCCACCTCTTTGAGTGGGTGTTATCGTCACCAAACACGTACGACGGACTAACAATTTTATTTTTTATTTTTTATTTTAGGAGGTCTGTTTCTAGTTTATTTGTGATAGGAAAACCAATGTAAAATTTAGATGAAAAATCAAGCATTCAAGGCTAAACTTGTGTTAATCCACCTGAACACAAGAAGCTCTTGAGCTTGGCCATTGATGCCATCTAGTTTTTCAGCGTGATTTTAGCCTTTGGGGTCATTTGAATAGTTCTGAAAACAGTTGAAATGAGCCGCTGTCGTAAGGAGAAGGTTACTGAGTCACCATTGGGGTGCTGATCCCTATATCAGTTTGACTAATTTATACATGACAATAAGGACGAGTACATTCATAGGCAAAAGGCTGATGAGATAGTGACAATCTTCGACATTAAGTTTGATGTGCTTGAAATTGACTCACTCTGGTCCAACAATTGCTGCTACACAAGATTGCATTAGCTAAATTAAGACATCATAGAGCAAATGTATGGTGAACAGATGAAACAGTGACCTCTTGGCCACAACTGCCAATACTATGAAAGCATGTTCAATTGTTCTTTTATTGCCGAGACAACGAGTTTGCCTGGTTGATCATAACAGTCCTTCCTCAGGTACTGACTCGGGCCGTTCAGAAGAAGAGATAAAGTTCCTCTATAGTCACTCCGGCGTTAAAATTCCTCCCTATCTTGCGCTGTAGATTGAACGTGCCGGAGTTTGAATCCCGGTCTTTATTACCATCTCTATTCCAAAATTGGCCGTTGTCATATCGGACATACTCATCCTAAATTATCTTCCTAATCTGGCATATACGATACCAAAGTTAGTCGGCCTTGATGACATGGACCGTTATGAGGGATTCGATTCACCGTTTGGTATCGGCCTTGATGACATTGACTGTTATGAGGGATTCGATTCACCGACGACAGGCCAATACTTAGCTTCTTCCCTTTTATTTTTCGCTAATCCTCCTTCTTTTCCCACCAAATCACTATATCTAGCTATGACATTCATGTCAAATTGTCGCGAGGCATGTCGATGCCCTTCTTTAAGTACTTCGAACAGAAGGATTGATCCAAAATTAAAAAAAAAAAAAAAAGAAAAAGGAAAGGAAACACGGGGAAATTTGCGGCGCCCCTATCTTCCGAACCTTTCGAGTGCGACGTTTGTGATGGCAAATAAACAATATACAATCACATCATACTTTAATGCAAGAACATCGAATGTACACGGCCAACAGACAACTAATCATGAAGAAAACAATAGGTATATACCTCACAATTAAGCGTCAGGCATGTACAGGTATAGATGAGCTCATGGACGACACGCAGCCCTTCAAGCGCTCGAGGATGCGCTTCCGACTAACCAGCGACGAGTGGGAAGTGAGGGGAAGCCCTTCCTTGACGCACTCATCGTACTTCTCTAGCACAGCCACGATGTCGCTGAAGTCCGGACGCTTCGAAGGGTTCGCCGCCCAGCAACGCTTGATTAGGTGGGCAAGCGCAGGCTGACAGCTCTCTGGCAGAGGAGGCCTATCATTCTGTCAGATAAAAGATCAGAAACGAGTCATGGAACGATATCTCTCCGGACTGCATTTGGAAGACAACAACCATCCTATGTAGCACGTGTCAGTGTAAGCACCAAGAATCGAAAATTTATTGAGATATTCAACAGGAACAGCAATCAAATTTATCTATCAAGAATAAGAAGGCCAAACTCAATCAAATTAGTGGTCTTTCAACGAAGAAAGACTCAATCAAGACCTTTAGGGTAAAACAATCTCCCAATGAAATGCCAAGCAAAACCGAAAAGTTATATGCAAGAAGTTGCAAGAAGATACCAAAATAAAACCAAATCTGAATGAAAGCAAGAAATTTGTATGCAGATCGGCCATCTGACCTTCTCTGCCACAGCAAATGCAGCCTGCACCGGTGTCATTCCTTGGAAAGGAAGTAAGGCTGTGGTGAGTTCCCACAGAACAATCCCAAAACTATACACGTCGACCTTACGAGTGTAAGGCTTCTCCTTGATCATCTCTGGCGCCATCCAACGGTACGTGCCCTTGTTGCCTTTGCTTTCTTGGCACTGTGTTTCTAGACACGAAGTGCCGAAATCCGCCACCTTTACTCGCATTTCATCATTAAGAAGCAAGTTATTTGACTTTAGGTCCCTGTGGATCACCCCTTGAGAATGAAGGTACTCCATCCCTCGGGATATATCAAGAGCTAACCTTAGGATTGTCTCGATCGAGAGAGAGTAAGGCTCCTTCTTGTTGAGATACATTCTCAGATTTCCTTGCGACATGTATTCAGTGATGATGCAGTATACCGGGGGCTTCTTACAAGCTGCGATGAACTGCCCAAAATGATGGGTCACCAAGTTTGCAATATTGAGCTCTCCAGGTTTAAATTGCCGAGCTAATTAATACATGCCTGAGTATGCAAGTACATCTTTCTGCCTTAATTTTCAATACAAGAGTTCAACACGCAAAAAGATTGAGCCGGCAACCTTTCTTGGATCATTATGCTAATAAACCAGTACGACATGTATTCCTTTTGCAATTCCGAAGCATTAGACATTCCGAAACAAACGTCTTCTTGCAATTCAAGTTTCTTGTTAACCACACTCGGAAGGACTCTTTATTTATTATCAGCAGATTAGCGACATGTCTAAGTCTGTTGGAATTTTAGCAAAATTGACTAAATGTCCGAAATTCTACAATATTAAAGTGATATTACTCCACAACATATCACAGTAATAACAGTAAGAAACGCTATCACCTTTACATATGACAAGAATGCTTCATGTCCGAGAATTTGAGAAAGAGAATACTACCTGGACTATGTTAGGATGAAACAGACGCGAGAGCAATGCGACTTCAGATTTAAACTGCTGCTCTAGTAGAGCTCTAGTGTCTTCGTTCTGATTCGGAATCCTCACCATCTTCACAGCCACCGCTCTCTGCTTATAAATTCCACGATAAATCCGACTGTGGGCACCCGAAGCAAACTTGTTGCCTATGAACAGCTGGGAGAGGTCGGCCGTCCACTCTTCTTGATCTTCTCTTGATGCTTCCCAGGACTCCATATTTTCAGACTCCAGTATCATTGACCACGACTCCAAGCTATCGAATCTCTTCCTCTCCATGTTCTCCATGTCTGAATTCAAGTTGGTTCTTGAAGACGAAGGTGCCGAGAATTGCTTGCTCTTTGATTTCCTCAAGCGAAACGCGTGGAAACATGAGGTGGCCATTGGAGCTTCAAAGAGAGACAGAGAGGGAGGGAGAAAGGGATGGCTAGTTAGCAAAGAGGGTCTCTCGACAAGAACCAATCAAAAGGATTGGCTTTTCCTTCTGAATGTGTGGATTGATTTCAGGAAGTGCATGAACTGGTTCAGAAACATGGGTTCTTGTCGAGCGTGTGAAAGAGAGAAAGATGGTCATGAATCAAGAACATAAACTTCCAAAAAGAAAGAAACAAAGAAACAAAGACAAACACAGAGAAAAGATGAGGCAATTTACTAAAGGTTACAGGGGATCGAAAAACGGAGAGAAAGGACTGAAATTCGGTGTTTTCTGCTTTCCATTTCTGAATAGACACAGTTTTTAAATTCCGAAGGAAAGAATCCTGAAGGAAGGCTTCAGGAAAGCTGAGGAAGCTGATCTTGGTGGAGGAAAGGCATGAAAGTGCAAGATGAGTTTATGGGGTCTCCTGTTTTTCTTCTTTTGTCCAGAATTGAAGTGAAAGGAAGAGTTTTTTCTCATGCAGGTCTTGAAGAGGTGAGAGAGAGAAAGAGAGAGAGTCTAGAGTTTCACGGTTTTGGGAGAAGAGGATGAGGAGATTAGGTTTGTTTAGCAGTAGAAAGACAAGCTCAAAAGCCAGGGACTTTCAGGGGCGTCTCGTGATTGCTTGGCTCAAAAGTAAAAAGACTACTGTGGTCACTTGAGAGATGGAGAGGGAGAGGGAGAGAGAGGGAGAGCTGTTTGTTTTTTTTAGAAAAATGCTTGAGTATCACATAGCCCGAATCTAACTCCTGTGTACTTTTGGTTTTCTGTTTCTGTTGCTTTTGTGCATCATCAAAAGCAAAGTGGCCACAGTGCAGAGCAAGGAAGATTCCACGCATTTTGGTTCGGCTTTTGAGGAAAGTCTTAGAGAAAATGCAAAGACTTGAAAGGGTTTTTTGAAATGCAAATTTTATTTGATAAAGTATTATTGACAAGTGTTTCCGGAATCAATTTTGATTTACATATTGTTTGGAAAAAAACTAAACATGTGAAGGACTTTAGTTTATAAATTTTAAATAAATAAAAATTTACTTGCGACTGACGACATTGGCCAGACGCTAGTAAGCCATATCTAGCACCGGTGACTGTAGCCTGAAATCGCACGACCTCAAATAACCCCCAGCAACCTCAAGTGATAGGGATAATTGGTTTCAGTGTGAGTCGGTTCCCATCCTAGAACTTGAAAATGGACCGAGCAGGGTCAGTTTGTGGAACCAGGAACTGACTCACCTAATCTTAGAATTAGACTAGACCGAACCGACTAGTCCGGTTCGATTCCAAGGTCTGTCCAAAAACTGGTCATTTCTTTTTCTTTTTCTTTTTTCTTTTTTTTTTTTGTAAGGTTCTTTTTCTTTTTTTTGTTTTCTACTATTTCCTAGAAGTGGGAGTTTCCCAACACTAAAAAAATTGCTAATTAGGGTTTGCTTCAAGGGAAAAAATAAAAACAAATAGATTAAGAAACCTTGCCCGGTCCAGTTCCTCATGTGGAATCAGGAACCGGATTGGTTATTCTCGATCCCAAATTTTTGGAACCGTGAATTAGACCAATCTTCCCGGGAATCACCCAGAGCCAGTTTGGTTCGGTTCCAAGGTTGGAGAGGACTGATGCACTCCCTTACCAGACGATGCTCACCGTGCTGGATCTGGCTTGTTGACAATCAGATCTAGGCTCACCAATGACGTTGCGCGAAGTGAAAATGGGGGGAGTAAAATTGAATTTTAAAAAGCATATCCAGGGTAAAGTTGGAAAAAAACAATACATTAACATTCCAAAAATGCTGAAGCACAAAGCTGGCTAATATTTACATCGAGTTAAAAGCCTTTGGAGAACCTTGAAAATGCAATTCATCTCTCAAAAACTATCTCAAAAAAAATTGTCAAACGCCTTACTATTAGCCTAAAAGCCTTTGGAGGCCTAAACACCTTCAGGAAAGTAGTACCTTAACGCAGCCTCATGATCTGAAGAAGACTTTGCATATTTTGGGAGACTAGGAATCTATTCCAATCCCACCACCTAGATTTAACATAACATGGGGGTACCATGTAACAAATTAAAAATCGTTGAATTTCAAAAATTAAATTATAGTTGTTTATTGAAAGTTTTCAGATATTCCTATTTTACGATTCTATGTATAAAGATTGAGATAAGACTTATTTCCCTATGACATGTTACGTAACTATTGAGGAAGGTTCCTCGAGGGCTATACAAAAATTATTTTTTTCACTTTCTAATGCAAGAGGAACAGAACATAGTTTATTCACTGGGTTATGCTAGCCTTAGCATCTTCCAAATAATATACTATAACCTTTCAAAAGTCATCCAAAGAGAAAGCTAGAAGAACAAATCCAATGGAATTTGGGTAACTCATATAGTACATGTTTAGAGAAATTCTTGTTAGAAGACTAACTATTCCTACTTTCAAAAAGTTGAGGTTCAACCCAACACACCATTTTCTATATTTTTTAAGAGTAGAAGTATGTGAATTTGGAAATTACTTTTTTTCTTTTTGCCAGAGAGAAAATGTCGAAATAACTTTAAGGGGGCGTTTGGCAACTTGCCAAATAATAAAAATTTCTGTTTTTTTGTTCCCAGAATCAGTTTGGGAGCAGAAATCCGTTTGTTAAAATTTTTGTATCCGGGCACAAATTTGCAAAACATTATTCCCATAATCAGTTTTGGAACAGAATCAAGAAGCAAAAAAAAGTAGCTTCTTGATTCTGGAACAATTTTTCCATTTCTGATTCTTCTTGGTTTCTTGGTTTCTTTTTTATTGTTCTTCATCTTCTTTCCAGCCCACCACCGGCCCGCTGCCGGCGACAGGCCATGGCGAGGCCGACCTTGCCGTCGTGGGGGGTGGCGACGGTAAGGTCGACCTTGCCTTGGCTGGGCAAGGCTCGACCTCGTCGTGATTTGGCGAGGCCGACCTCGCCGTTGCAACCAGCGAGGCTGGCGGCAAGGGCTGCGATGCCCTCGTCAGCCCTGGCATGTTGCCAGTCACTGACGCCGGCGACTGGCCATGGCCAAGGAAAAATAAGAAAAAAAAAAAGGAAAACAAAAGAAATAAATATTAAAAAAATTCAAAATATTATTAAAATATTATTAATAAAAAAATTTTGTGTAGTTACCAAACGCATTTCTGTTCTTTTTCTATTCTAAGAATAGAAATTTTAAGCAGTTACCAAACGCCTTCAAATGCTCAGAAATTGTTCCCGGGCACAAAATGATTGCCATGCGCAGCCTAAAAGCCATTCTTTTGGAGATAGCCCATTTGCATTCTTTTGCCATTTTCACTATTTTATAAGAAAAGGGTTTGCTCATTAATCATTTAAGGGAATTGTATTGCCTAAATTACTACGATGCATCGAAATATTAAGGGAAAAGACCACCAAAAACCCCAAATTATGCCACATGTGACACATTTACTCTGAACTTTTTTTGTGATACCAAAAACCCCAAACTATGCTATTTGTGACACATTTACCCCAATGTACTTTAGTCCATGGGCATTTTCGTCTTTTTTTGCTTTTTCTTTGTTTTTTTCCTTTCCGGCGAGGGTGGCCCTCGCCGGCGTCGGGCGAGGATCGCCTCACCTGGGCGAGCGAGGGTGGCCCTCGCTCGAGTCAGGCGAGGGCGACCCTCGCCGAGTCGGCGAGGCTCGCCCGAATAGGGCGAGGCCGCCCTCGCCGTCCAGGCAGAGGGTGGCCCTCGCCGGATCTGGCGAGGGCGGCCCTCGCCCGACGCCGGCGAGGGCGAGGACCGCCTTGCCTGGGCAAGCGAGGGCAGCCCTCATCCGACTCAGGCGAGGGCGGCCCTCGCCCTACTCAGGCGAGGGCGGCCCTTGCCCGACGCCGGCGAGGGCCGCCCTCGCCCGTGGCCCTCGTCGGAAAGGGAAACAAAAAAAGAAAAAGCAAAAAAGATGAAAATGTCCATGGACTAAAGTACATTGGGGTAAATGTGTCACAAATAGCATAGTTTTGGGTTTTTGATGTCACAAAAAAAAGTTCAGGGTAAATGTGTCACAAGTGGCATAGTTTGGGGTTTTTGATGGTGTTTTCCCAAATATTAATTTTTAGAACTCATGCCGTAGCCAAAACATGTGTAGTTTTTTAATGATTTAATTGAGCAATTTTCTGAGCCTTCTTTTAATTCATTCAAGATGGTATTTTGTTGCTCGCACTAATGGCACTTTCCAAAGGATTTCATAATTATGGTAGGGTAAGAAACAATCTCACCAAGGCATGTGCAGAAGCAAACGTCCAATCTCATCAAGAAAGCTGGAATCATGCGAGATTGCCCAGTCTATTTGGCAATCTATGGACGTTTTATTTTACCCAAACATGGAACCATCACATGACCTAGTAGTGGAGCTTGGAGGGTTGGCTCAAAAAAAGTTGAACTTTTGTTTTTAAAACGACGAGGACGCTAGTTGAAGCCATCCACCTTTTCAATCTCTTCACTGGTGGCCTTTTTTCTTTACTTTCCGAATACCTCGTCTGCCTAATTGGAGGGCCGGACCACGAACAAGTTGCCAACGCTTTTAATCTAGCAGTAGGAGCCAAGAACAGGTTAAAAACAATCTATTCTGAGCTCGATGTTCAAGATCCGTGCGATCTTATAAACATAGTTATGGATGGTTTAAACCGTATACGACCTTGGTCACCGAGAGAGGTCGGCCTTTTTGGAACTAGCACCGAAAGCTTTCGAAAGTTCTGGCTCCACATTATATGTCAAGAGAGATGCTAACACCTCTATCCTTCTCTTCTCTTGCCATACGATTGTTCTATTGCAACCTTTTCTATTTTGAGGCTCTTCATGATAACTCTTGACAGAGCATCTGACTTCTGTTCTAATAAGGTTCTGCATTTTTGGACCAATGGGCTCAAGAGGCCCAAGAACTATCCGTTCAAATACACTCATCCTAGACTTGGCCAATTAGACCTTTGATCTAGGTTTTTTCTTTGAAATTCATGACTTAATTTGGCCTTTTTATCTGAAGAACCCTGTCCTTTTGCGAACTTTCTGTCGATCCGTTTCAGTTTTACTACTGTTTGGTGCAATTCTACGCAATTAGCAATATATATCCACAACACGTGTGATCGAATGGCATGACATAGCGAGTAACTTAGTTGTGTCCGACATTGACAAATGGATTCGGACATATTCTAAACCATACATTTTGTGAGATGACTGCCAATTATTTTAAAAACTTAACATGCTATCGGAGCAAAGAAGTGCTAAGTTGGAATCTTTCCAGATTTTTTATTCGGCTCCCTTATGTATGGTGCCTTTGGTTCAGCCTTGGGAGAAAGTCATTGGGAAAGGCCTTTGGGCTAAATGGGTATTCGAAATGCAATAGCGTTTGGTAAAAAGTCTTTTGTAAAGCAACTTTGGGTTCAAGAATGTTGGCGAAATTCTTCTTGAAAAGGACTTTGGCTACGTTTCTTTCTATTTTTTATTTAAAAAAAAAACTCGCACCCACTGGCTAAGGGCTCAAGCCACCAGTGAGCCAAATCTGGCACCAACAGCCGTTGTCTAAGGTTGCACAACCTCGAGCGATCCCCGGCGAGGGTCGCGCAACCCCAGGCAGCCCATGGCGCAACCTCAAGCAGCCCTCGCTTGGGGTCGTGTGACCCTAGGCAACGAGGTTTGAGGTCGCGCGAACCAAGCGACCATCACCT